GCTCTAAAATTCAACGAGTAAGTATTCCAGAAGTCATTAAAAAAAAAAAGAAAAACATTGTTTGAAAACAAGTTTTTATATATTATTTTATAAAAATATTTTATGCCTCCTAATTAGATACTATAGACTCTATAATCAAAATAAATATTATAATGTTAGAAATGTCATTTCTGTTGCCTCAGAATATTCAATTTATATTATATAATTTAAATTAGAAATATCATATTAGTCATTATCGCTACTGAACATAGGCCTCCCTCATAGAGTGACATAAGGCGTTCCTTATGGTCTGGCTCAGGACCAATGGTCTGAACGACCTATCACTAACTTCCTGTAAATAATTTGAGGTCATCACTCTACCAAGTGGAGGTCGTCCCACACTACGTTTGTCCTTACGGGGTCGCTACACAAAGAAACTCCGAGCATAGTTCTCTCCATAGTTCGCTAAGTAACTTGAAGTTTTTGCATACGGCCTACCAAGTAGGACCATGTATGCGTAGATATTAATAATGTTTCTTATTAATTCAAGTTATTTTAAAACATGTTTCTGGCAACACTTAGTGAAAAACACTTGTTTTATCAAGCGACGAGCATGGCTTTGGTGAAAATATGTATTAGTAAAGTGTAGTATATTTGTCTCCTTGGAACATTATTTTATAGCTTCACTAGTATCCTAGACAACCGTCTATATTTTATGATTGTCTGTCTGTAAATATTGTTTCCCGAGACTGTACAATCTGCAACAAAATTGAGTTTTGATTCGTAGCCTCGCTGTGCGGGACGTGATTCGAATAATATCTCGATTCATAGCTTGTACTATTATAATCAAGTTTCTTCTCATAACCCACTTCGTTGAGTTTAATTTGGCGTAAATTTGTTTGATTCTCTTTTTACACGTTCCCCATCGTTTGTTGAGAATGGAATTCAGGAAAGTTTTTTTAATAATAAAGTTTCTGGATTGTTCCACTTCATTACTATTGCAAGTTGCTGAACGTACATTTTTTTAGTTAATTATTTTAAATGTTTAATTTTTCTAACAAAATTGTACAGTAGTTAATTAAAAATACAAAATTCTAATAATTTAAAGGTGAATACGAAATCATTGGGAGGCATCGTTTTGAGGCAGTATTCTACTTGTGAAAATAAACATCACTGCAGCGCCGTCAAAATTTTAATTTGTTAATTATTCACTTTTATTATAAAAAAATTTATGTAATACTAGCGGCCCGTCCCGGCTTCGCACGGGTGGACATTTTTACGACATTTTAAAAAGTGGTTATTGTGACATAACGATAATAATTGGACATATAGTATCCCAAAGTTTTTTGTAGTAATTAATAGTAGTAACAACATACTTTTGCTCTATCACCAATAGTTTCCGCAGCGCACGCGACGAAAGATATTTTTTATCATTTTTTTTACACCTTGAGTTACATTACTAAAGTTTTAGTAAGGATCCCTAATCTTTTCTAGAAATAAATATAGCTTATGTTACTCAAGGTGAATGTAGCTTTCTAATGGTAAAAGAATTTTTGAAATCGGCAAAGTAGTTTTTGAGTTTATTCATTACAAACATACACCCAAAAATGCAAATCTTTCCTCTTCGTAATATTAGTGTAGATGTAATAGTTTGGAAATCGTTATAGTGAACTGAAATGGCTTAATGCGACTGTGAAACGAGAAGCCAAAGCCGAAATGTTTACATTTTTATTTATCAGTAGAATAAATGAAAGCTTTGCCAGCTGTCATTGGTTCGATGACAATTGAAAGGCAATTGATTATTATTTGTGATATTTAGTAGGAGACAATCTCAACAAATACAGGGTCCTATTAGGACTTTGATTTTGTTTTGTTATTAATATTATACTAGACAGATTAGATATTTAATCTGTAAACTTTATTATTACTGATTTATAAATGTGACGGCTAACAGTAAGCTGACGGTTCAGAACTGATTACGGGCCAGAGATCAAGTTTTCTATCATAGATTATTACAATTAAACCGCATGAACTTATAAAAGCTAAGCTATAACGTAAGATAGAATCACAAAAAATACGATTTAAAGGAACTTGTAAACAAATCTGTTTCAATAAAAATAGTTTTTATTTTATTCTTGAAATACAAAAAAAAAAAACAGCAAATTCAATCAAGACAAAACATATAAACGCACGAATACACGATTCGTATACAAATTAAATTGAATATATTTTAGTTTGCAAGTTAAATTGTGTGTTTGAAACCAAATTACAATTTGCTCGAGCGTTTTTTTTTTCCAAGCTAATTAAATTTGTATTTGCGTAACCATAGTTGAAACATATAAATTGTCTTCCACAGTAACAAAATGTCTTCAGTTGTAGCAAATCGGTTATTTTGGTTTTAAAATTAAACTACTGAATCTAATTTGATAAAATTTCTTTGGGATAAATCTGTAGATATATCTTTTTCAGTTAAAAAATTCAAATCAGTTTACAACAGTTGAAGTTATGAGGTAATAAACATAAAAAAATACAACCAAATTGAGAACTACCTTTAACAACAACAACAAAATAGAAAAACTATTCAATTCATTTCAATTTATTTATTGCATTCTACAATATTATTATAAAAGATGTTAATAATTGATACAGTACATTGTAGACCCTGTCGGGCGCAGCAATTTGAAGCGAGGAGGGCGTCGATCCTTAAATTTTTAAAAAGATTTCTATAATTAAATAATCCAATTTCAATTTCATCAATGTAATTAAATTCTAATTAAAATCCATCTTAATTTAATGATTCTTTTTTGTTTTCATAATTTTAATTTAATGCAATTTAATATAGTTGTTCATATTTTTATATCATTTTATTAGTATCGTTATCGGTACATTCTACTTCTCTAGAAAGTTACTTAAAAATATAGCTTTCTATATTATCTCTTGTTCAGTGTATCACTGGGCTTACCTTTCAAAGATTAAAAGAGATCTGGCGTAGGTAATCAAAGGACGCCCTCTCAAAGGATTTTTGAAGAATATTAAAATTAGTAAAATTTCGTATTACGCTGCTAATGTAATTTTACGTTCGCCTGAACCTTAATAAATTTGGGTCAATTTTTTCCTGACGGGCTTCACTATTATTCTTGATTTTGTTCTCTCTTCTAAATCTTTATTAACGTTTTTAATTTATGATATCGTTAGATAACATAATATTTGATCAACTAGATTGATTCGGACATGGGCTGTTTTATACAACTAGCAATTTACTGCGGCTTCACTTACGTGGGACTCGTCATCTCATTTTCTCGTCATAACCCCCTTATTTATTTATTTATTTATTCATTAGTACAAATATGTGTACATGGCGGACTTAATGCTAAAAGCATTCTCTCCCAGTCAACCATAGGGAAGTGTCAGAATACTCGAATGCGGTACTACTAATTATTGATATACATACATACTAAAATTACATATATAAACGAATAAATATATATGAAAAACAAATATACTTACACATATATGACATATACTATATTATACACGAATTTGGGAATAATATAAAGCACTTACTGCTCGGATAAAGATAAAAAGTGAGCGTGAACGCTTTTTTTGAAAGACGATTTAGTCGGTAGTCTCTTATTCATAGAAACTAAAACATTCTAAAATCCTATTACAACTATTATACTATTTTTTCACTTTATTTAAAATTTGTAAGTTAGTATATGAGAAAGAGACAAAACAATTCAATAGCAAAAAGATGTTTATAAGAGGTTAGATAGTTTTAAGAATAAGAGGGCAAGCCAATACCTAGGGGGGAAAGGGATTGTTAGTAATAGAGTCAAATAGCCCCATTACTAGCAATATACCCTGTCAGGTCTACCTCCACGTGGTTCCCTCTGGAAACCATCGTGGCTAATTCTAGTTGAAATCGTCAGGATGGGCTAACTGACCTGCTTTTGTCCTCATCAGTCATCTGTCAGTGGTGGCCCGCCAGTTATACTGAGAGCGCAGACGGGATTACCATACCATTATCATCCATTAAAACAAAAAAAGCCTTTATCTAAAATTTCAATTTTCCAATACTAACAATTGAAGCAGTTCTTTGATCACTCAGATAGATCAAAGTATGTATTTCGAAAGTGATTACCATCCTTACGTGGTTAACATCCTATAGAGGGGGGAAAGGAATTGTTAGTAATGGAGGCTGAGAATCCCATTGCTAGCAATATACCCAACCAGGTCGACCTCCTCGCGGTTCCCCCTGGAAACTATTATAATTAATTCCAGATGAATTCATCATGATGGGCTAACTGGCCTGTTTTCATCCTCATCGATCACCCTTCACTGCTGCCCCGCCAGCGTATCCCGTTAGCGCAGGCGGGGTTACCATTCCATTTTCATCCAATAAAAAAAAAAATCCTATAGAAGTAATGAGAAAATGCGTATACAGCAAAATACGTCAATTTCCTACCAACATTTAACCTGTAGAGCGTGTTATTAGCATCTAGTTAGCCTTTGATACCATATTTTTTGCTAAAAAATATTTCAAAGATTACCCAAGAGAGTTGAAAACTAATTATATGAGACAGAGAAGAGAGAAAAGGACAGAGAGATTTCTATACTAATATAATAAAGAGTTTATTTGTTTGAACGCACTAATATATGGAACTTCAAATCTGACTTCATAAATTATTTTTGCATTTGAAAGCTCATTTCTCGAGGAAGGTATTATTGTATTGTATTGTAAAATCTTTATTGTACATAATTTATATTAGACACATTAAAAGATTTAATACATCCGCCATTGCGGACTTATCCCATAAAAGGATCTTTTTTCAGTCAACCTTTGATAAGCTTAAAAAAAAACTATAAAATGTACAAGAGTGAAACCGTACAGCTAAAGATAAACTATATAATATTTAGTTAAAATTTAACACATAATACAATATAATAAGGTTTTAGACTATTCAACATCACGATACAACCACGGGCGAAACCGTAGGATACAGCTAGCTTAAAATACTTACCAATATCCAACGTTGCCACAGCATCTCTGACCAGCCTGTATGTATCTCCGTTGATCCTCAGAAAGTCCACACAGCCAAGTAGTCCATCAGACAAACCCAGTTTGGTCTGCAGTCCTGTTGTATTGCCAGCGCCTCCCACCCACACTGGCTCCCGGAACGTCATTCGCGAAAACAAGCCCTGTGAAAAGAAAATAAGGTTTAAATTCGATTGGAAATAATAATTTATATTTGATTCATCATCATGACAATGCAAGCATATTTGTATATCTATAGATTCTCGAAGATACAGTAGAACATACATGTAAAATACAAGAACTTAATTAACAGTATGGTAAACACAAAATATAATGTGCCGCCGTTGGCGACATCTTGACAATTTTATGTCATACAATGACACAAAATGAGCGGGTAGAAGAAAAACTTCTGCCTCGCAAGCGGAGACATGACAGCGCTACGTCAGTCTACTCGTGACCACGGCCGGTGTAACATCGTCGAAATGTCGAGATAATTCAGATAATTTCAGATTCATTGTACCACATTTCAACGATAAATTACAGATTCATATTTTCGTTTCACCATATCACTTATTATGTATTTATCTATATATTCCATGTGTCTCATATGTGTTTTATATTATATATAATATTAACTTAACATTAGTAATTGTCTTATTGTTGCTTGTTATTTAATTTCATTGTTGCGCGCAGCACTCTTTATATAGGTTCTTACGGAAGACCAGCGTCGGTAACTCGTAAGGACTCCCGACACATGCTGATTAAGAGTCTTTAAGAGATTAGAATTCGTTTTTAATGTTAGCTTTTGTAATGTCTATGTATGCCACTAAATAATTTTTCTTTCTTTCTTTCTCAGTTTCTTATAAATCATAAAAAAAATTCAACGTAAAAGTTTTAAGAGTTAATATTTCGTCAACTATTGTCTTAAATTATACTATCACAGACTAAAGAGAATGTCTAGCATTTCTCAAAAGGATTCCTTGATTGACCCATAATATAAGTAGGTACACCAACATTGTGAATTGGACGAGAAAATTTCACGGAATTCCGGTAATTTTTCTAAAACATTACCCTTCGCAGTGTTGGGCAATTATGCAAAACTGAAATTGGATGCCGAAGGCTAGAAATGTGGTGCAAGTTATAAGAGAATTGATCAATTGAGTGGTGTTTACTCGTGTAAAGATGCAACAAGTTGTCACCTCATTATTAGTATATATTATACTAGTCTTTACCCGCGATTTCGTTCATCATTAAATATTGATTGGTGGGGCTAAAAAATAAACTTTTTTTATACAACTTAGAATGGCAAACAAGCTGACGGCCTACCTGATGGAAAGTGGTAACCGTCGCCTATAGATGGTACAGTACAGTACCATGGAAATAACAGAGTATACTGTTTCGCCTATGATTCGATTTCATTATCCACCCATAATAGTGTATGTGCGCTAAATTTCGTGATGATTGGATGAGTCGTTTAAATGCCAAGAGGTATTAGTGCCACATACTCATACGAATCCATAAGGCATAGAATAAGCCACCCCTTCCTTTCCCATGGGTGTCGTAAGAGGCGACTAAGGAAATTTAATATTCGAGGGATGGACAGCGGCGTCCCTCTTAAAAGAACCAAAAGTTAAACTGCAGTTGCCAACTCGCCTGCCAAGTATCGCAACTACTGGCAAACGACACATCTGCTCATAGTCCTTAACTGATCGCAGATATAATTGGGAATAAAAAACAATTAGAAAAGTTCGATATCCAAAAATAAGTCCAAACAAAACTCGAATCCGGGATCTTATTGCCCAAAGAAAAATATATGCCGCTTTTTAATTCGTTTTGTTTTACTAGAAGGACAGAACGGATTTTTCAGTTTATTCGATTCTGCAATTTTTTTTTTATACAACTTAGAATGGCAAACAAGCTGACGTTCCACCTGATTGAAAGTGGTAACCGTCGCCTATAAACATGAGCGGTGCTGTGAACATAACAGAGTATACTGTTTCGCCCATGATACCCCCCATGCGTTGCCATTCCTGAGGACTCAGGTATTATTCCTCTGTACCTAGTAAATTCACGCCATATCCCACCCTTCAAACCGAAACACAACCATGCAAACACAGCTGCTTCACGGTTGAAACATGAATGGGACAGAGGTACTCAAACAATTGACTTTTGTACAAAGTCTCCTTCTGGTAGTACAAGTAAAACTAAATCGTAGAACAATACGGATATAATCACAATCACTGCTGTATCTGCTGACATTGATGCTCCTTTCCACTTTGGGTGTTGCTGGAAGAGAACTCTATCAGAGTTAAGCTCGCCTTTGTACTTTTGTTTACCTCTGTCATATTTTTATAACTAATGTGTACAATAAAGTATTAAATAAATAAATTAAGAATACTCTGTTATAAATAAACCATTAAATGAATGAATATATCTCAATCACAAGGACGTTGTCGTTAAGAAAATCTAGTAAACTAATATCCCATTAAATACCTAAGATTCATCGGAAAGATTTCTCACTGAATCTTCATAACTAGATATGACAAGATACAAGTACAGCCCTAATAAAACTTATTCAACTTTCATATCACAAGTGTTTCGTTGGATATACGTAAATGTTAGTTGCAGTAAAAGTTGGCAAGTTTTTAAGACAACACAAAGTTATCTCTGCCAGTTATGAATGAATGTAACAGATGGTGTTCTTTTTCGTATAACAAATCAAGTTTGTAAGAATATAGTTTAATAAATATATACAAAGCTAAGTATATATATATATATATATATATATATATATATATATATATATATATATATATATATATATATATATATATAGCCTTACTCGCCAGTCAAGCGTCTACTATTATTAGCAAAACCCCCCTTTATGGGGAAGGTTATATCCAGCAATGAGCAGGCTTCCTTTCCCGTGGGTGTCGTAAGAGGCGACTAAGGGAGTATATATATGTATTATTATATACAGGTATGTATGTATTATGATTTTGATTATATGAGTTATTTTGTATATATGTTAATATATTTATTATTTCTTAATAGAAACAACTATACTGTTTCCTTCTATTGTTGTACGCACACTGTCCGCTGGTAATTAATGCTCCTTTCCACTCAGGGTTTGCTGGAAGAGAACTCTTACAGAGTTAACCACGCCTGTTGTACATCTTTATTTAATATATATTATTAATATATATTTGTAATTTTTTTGTGTACAATAAAGAATAAATAAATAAGGGAGCTTATGGTAGAGAGATAGACAGCAACGTCCCCTCTTAAAACATCACCAAAAGCCAAATTGCAATTGCCAACCTGCCTGCCAAGCATGGTAACTACTTGCAAATCTCCCCAAGGGCGAGACCTATGCTCAGCAGTGGGCAGTTAACACCTGATATAGTATGCTTTATATTCGAACTATTTGCATGAGATACAAATTGTAATTATAGTAGATATCTTATTGGTCGCTCTTATAAATAAATAAACAAATACATAAGTAAATAAAAGCACTAGCTTTATACTATTTTTAGTAGCCATTATTCGTCTATTGCTGGACAAAAGCCTCCCCCATAGATTGCCATATAGAACGCTCCTGAGCCACACGCATCCACTGACTCCCTACTATGTATTTCTATTAGTAGTATAAATAAAAAATCAATTAATTTATTTACAAGCTCAACGTTGCACACATTACAATATTTTGATTTAATCACTACCGGTTTAACTTACGTGTTATTAGATTGAAAAAACTCGACTAGTTTCGGAATCAATTCGTGATACTTAGTCATGAGCAACTGTGACATTAAAATATGTCTATAGGATAGACTTAATGCCTGATCACCTTCTCTACCAATTGACGGTTACGCTAAATTTATAAATCGAATATATCAATTTGTTATTAATTTTTAGAGATTTTTTTTTGATAATTTCAACAACACTTGGTTGCCTTTTCATTAGTTTCTGTTGAGACCGACTATAGTTTTACAACCGCTTTATGCTTTTCACTTGGACAGCACCACCACGGTTGCCCATTTGCTACCTCCAACCCTTCAGAGACACGAGTGCTCCTAATGAGTTCAACTTTTCGGTATATATATATTTTTTTTTTTCAATTTTACCCCACATTTAATAATAACATACAATTTGCAATAGAACAATTCCTAAACTCTAATTATTTATGTTACTGATAACTATTGCCACGTAGTTAGTTCTTACTAATATATTTTGAGAGAGATTGTGTTTAAAAAAAAAGATTTCAATTATGTCAAATACACTTGATTTCAAAACTAAACTACATAACCAATTTTAATACAAATTCTATGGGACCAATAGGTAAATATATCCTTTCAAATAAAGAAAGTATTTTCTAATTCGATTTATGATTCACCACTGTAGTGAAGGTACTTATGTAATAAAAGTTTGGAAGGTAGTATTAAAAACTTGGAGTATCAGCTGAGGTTGTTTTAATTGAGTGCTCCCGTATTTCCTGGACATTACAACCACGATAGACCATTTCACCAGAGGGAGACTTTGTACAAAAGTCGATTGCTTGGGTACCTCTGTCCCATTCGTGTTTCAACCGTGAAGCAGTTGTGTTTGCATGGCTGTGTTTCGGTTTGTAGGGTGGGATATGGCGTGAATTTACTGGGTACAGAGGAATAACACCTAAGTCCTCAGGAATGGCAACGCATGGGGGGTGTTATGGGAGAGACAATATACTTTGTTATCTCCATGGTACTGCTCATGTCTATAGGCGACGGTTACCACTTTCCATCAAGTGGACCGTCAGCTTGTTTGCCATTCTAAGTTGTATAAATAAAAAAAATTTAACATTTGACATACGCTGGCGTGGCACCAGTGAAAGATGATGGATGAGAATGAAAAGGCAGGTCAGTAAGCCCATCGTGATGAATACACCTGGAATTCAGCACGCTAGTAATCAAGGGGGACCACGTAATGATCGATTTGACAAAGTAAATTGCTAGTAATGAGATTGGTAGTTGTTATTATTTATAATCTCTTCTCCCCATACATTATATTGCAAGTATTTTCATATGTTTATTCATAAAAAAGTTAACTTTATTCATTTACATTTATACACTCATTTATACTGGCGAAGCCGATTTAAGTAATAACTTAATACACGAATGCAATAGAA